CTGCCTTGATAAAGTCCGTCGGTGGACGAAACGTGTCAACTAAGAATAGGTTTTCCTCTTGTCTTCTTATTCATATATATATATATATATATATATATATATATATATATATATCAGCTGGGCACCGTCTTTGAATAAAGGAGCCAAATGGTGAAAATCATTCTGCCAGAAATTTGGACAAGAAACGCATTCCATTCGTGCCAGAAACTTCAATACGACCATTTCAGGGTGTTTTGGTGTTTATCTCTGTCCAGAGGATTCAGAAAAAGTTAGATGAATCTAATGGTGATGAAAATGGCATTTGGAGTGAGCACTTATGATGGCGACATTCTGCCATCCTTCATCTTCCCACAGGTCCTCAGACTCAACACGGAGTCCTACATCAAATGCTTTGAGGAGGTAGCTGGTGGAAGACCCTATGTCTGGCAAAAAGAATCACAAGTCGAAGAACCAAGTCGTGGCTGTCAGACCATTTCTCCAGTCTCATCGACACCAAACAGGATGTTTCCCCGATTAATATAATCTTAACGTGTTAACGGCTCAAGTTATCCGTTATCTTCCACAATTATACGCATAAATGGCCTCTTTACATAATCCTCGAGTGGCACCCGGGCATTGTAAAGGGTGAACCTTATTGGAAACAAAAAATCAAGCCTTACATCTGGCCACATAACTCCCCCAGACCGTAACGCCTTTGATTATTATGTGTGGGGTGCAGTTGACCGAGAGACGAACAAAATTCCTTGTAACACCAAAGATGAACTGAAGACTAGGATTATGTCAGCAATCACCAAATTAAACAAGGAGAACGTTAAGAAGAGTCGCAAGAGATTCCGAAGTCGTCTGGAGGGCGTGGTTGAAGCGAATGTCATTTTTATTGAATATATTTACACCTCAGTATTAGATGACATTTTGTGTAATTTTGGTAAATATATTTGTTAAAATAAGATGTCAGAGTTAATATTATTTTTGCGTAATTTTGACGACAATTTACCAATCGCAACCTCTCTCGCTCTCTTCCTCTCTCTCTCTCTCTCTCTCTCTCTCTCTATATATATATATATATATATATATATATAATGACGTCATTTGTTTACATTTGATACGCCATGAATGTACGTGAGAGATTCATGGAAGATTGAAGTTTAACTGCAGTAAATTCGACCATGCTAACCGAACGAATGCACCTCAAGCTAAATGACGGTTCCGTATAGGATATAAGTTCGTGTCTGGTCAGAGGACGGATATTTTCTATGAAAATTTCTCGGACATTTCAGGTCGGTAAATGTTGTTTAATACTGTTTATTATAAACAGAGCATTTACTTAAATATTTGCATCTATAAAAGAATTTTAAACATAAAATGTCTTATATATATATATATATATATATATATATATATATATATATATATATATATATACCTAATCATTTCACCCCAAGCAAGGCAATAATTCCATTAAGACGCAAGGGGATACTGAGTGTCAGAGAATATGAGAACAAATCACTATTAAAGAGCAGGAACAACAAAAGAACAAGAATTAAGAAGACGGAAGGTAACGATTGACATTGAATTTAAATTTCTGACGATCGACGTTGGCTGGAAAGGAAAAAGCCACGAAAGAGCTACACAATTTAGAAATCCAATGAAAGAATCTGTTAGCATAGAACCTGCGGTATCAGCTAGCCATTTCAAATGTAAAATGATGAGACCTAACCCCCAATCTAGTACTTCTCTAAAATTCATAAAGTCTAGGTGCCATAATGGAAGGTTTATCAGAACAATTACCATTAAAGTGTTTATAAAAAAAAATGCAGATGGAACCTATATATCAGCGTTGGATTTATTGTATTTTATCAAGAATCTCTAAATACATAACAGGAGCAAGACTAGATTTAGCAACAATATCCAAAGCAAGGACGTATGGTAGACATATAAATATGTAAGTTTGTGTTATGGTGCAGGTTAGAACCAAGGAAGAACAACACGAACACAAGAGTAGAAATAACGAAAGTATATTACACGAAATAATAACACAAGATGTGGAAGGTGTTAGCATGACTGTCAGTCTGGTTTGGAGTGAACTACTATCGGCTCGACTCGATTCGTCCCTCTCTCTTGAGAGGTGTAGTATACATAGTGTTAGGAAGAGTTCATTCTGTAGTTATATGTAAGGACTCATGACAATTTTGCACAATTTTATTAACCATACAGATTTTATCATTTAAACGTTCTTTTTAGTGGATACTCATATTTGAGTAGAAGCTCCGTTTATTTATTTTCTCAAAGCTAAATTAAATTTTATTGATTCTGGTATGTTTAAGTCTTCTAAATAATGTAGTTGATTTTTACAGCTCATTTGGTATAGTGCCTTTGCATTGTTGATAAGTACCGCAATTTCTTGAAAATAACATGCACCCATAAATAATACGCACCCCAACATACGATCCAAAAGTTAAGAAATATATATATATATATCTGTTATGGTCCAGGTTAGGATCAGGGAAGGACAAAACGAACACAAGAGTAGAAATAACGAAGGTATATTACACGAAATAATAATACAAGATGTGGAAGGTGTTAGTATGACTGTCAGTCTAGTTTGGAGTAAACTACTATCGGCTCGACTCGATTCGTTATCTCGCCACCCCCCCTACGAGGGTTGCACGTGGCACAAGGCCGAGTTTAACGTGGGTTTCCCGAGCCCGTAGGCTCGGCCAAAAAAATGCCCGTAAACGGGATCGGGTTGGTCAACCTCCCCGAACGAGACTTTGCCCTTCGGCGGATCCTCGTCAGTGTTCCTCTCTGCTCAGAGGCAGAAAGTTCGACCGTCAAGCCGAGAAGCTCGGCTCGATTCGGTATCTAGCCCCCGCGCCATGAGGGTTGCATGTGGCACAAGGCAGAGTTTAACGTGGGTTTCCCGAGCCCGTAGGAACTGTAAAAACAGAATCGGGTTGGTCAACCTCCCCGAGCGAGACTCTGCCCTTCGGCGGAGCCTCGTCTGGGTTCCTCTCTGCACAGAGGCAGAGAGTTCGACCGTCAAGCCGAAACGGCTGGACTCGATTCGACCCTCTCTCTTGAGAAGCGTAGTAGACATAGTGTTAGGAAGAGTTTATTCCGTAGTTATAAGTAAGGACCCACGACAGTTTAATTCGGATGAAAAATTTGTCTAGAAGGACACTGTGAACTAACTTTCCTAGTAGCAGACCTAGCAATTGATTCAATGTAATCGTTATACTTTATAACAGCTGGAAATGTTTTACTTTATATCAGTTATAGGAAATGCTAGCACGAAGCCACAAGGTTTGAGCGTGCTAGATAATACGCTCTTCCCAGAAACCGTAAGCTCTGCTTAGTTGCAGTATAAACCACAGGCGAGCTTTGTGGGTATTGAACAAACACAAATGCGCCTTAGCTCTTTGTCAAAAGACAAAGCAAAATTGTTATTAATTAAAGAATATCAAACACTTAAAACCCCTAGGTAATAATTTTTATTTCAGGAGAGCTCTTTTTAGAGCTCCGATTTCATTTGTGATTTGTTTGTAGGTCTTGAAGACTGAGAGTTGCTTCTTTTAAAGCTCTCATAAAATAAAAAAATATTACCTATGGGATTTTAAGTGTTTGATATTCTATAATTAATATATATATATATATATATATATATATATATATATATATATATATATATATAGAGAGAGAGAGAGAGAGAGAGAGAGATGTTTGAAACCGTACAACAAAAAGCGTATTAAGGCATTGAAAACAAGAAATTTTATATTTTAGGCATTGATAGATTTAAAACAAAACACACACCAGTCGGTCGGTTTCGTCCCCTCTCATCAGAACTGTTAACGGGGAACTAAGATTATGAAGAAAAGAAAAAGTCTGTCATGGATGACATGAATGATTGGACAGGGAGAAAAAATTATATTATAAAAAAAATTATACCAACCAAGATGCTAGAAGCGCAGCACCGCATGTCCAAGCAAACAATCTCTTTGTTTGCAAAGAGTAGGTTGCCTGGACCTGATGTAAAGCGACTCCAACACCTTAAGATTGAATCATGAGTGCGAACTGGCCAAAACGGAAAACCAGTTCACACTGAAATCCATCGCACTAGTGGGATTCTTTATAAAGTGATCCGCAATCGAAGAACCATACGTGTTACGAATGGTATCGCCCAACCCATTTCTGTCAGGATCCATTCATGACTGTTCTTGTACACTAGTGTGATGTCTGGACGATTACACTCCAAGCGATTGTCAATCAAAAGGGTCGTATTTCTTATAATGTTTACTTACACATTCACGGCGATTATGATTCCTATTTTATTTTTAAGAAAACAACATAGCTTTCATATTAGCTGTGAGATTGTGTGCGACAATTCTTTCTGAAAACTAAACCTAGTTGTTCCTTTTGCATATAGCTTCTATTTCGTGATGCAGTGACTGTGAAAATTGAAAAGTTGTCCCTGGTTAAATATGCATTGGGACGAGTCTATGTTTGACAAATGTTTGGCATTTACCCATTACTGGTGCGGCTGACTAGTATAATTTCGCTTCTATTTTTTCTTTTCTTTTTTTTTTCCTATTCTTTTCCAACAAGGATTAGAAAGAAAGAAAGAAAGAAAGAAAGAAAGAAAGAAAAACAAACAAACAGGAAGAAATCAAGAATAAAAAGAGGGAGAAATTAAAAACGGTAAAGAAAGAGGAAAAAAGAGATAAAGAAAAAGAAAGAATTAATAAATGGAATGAGAAAAATGAAAAAAATGAAAGAGAGACAAAAAGCAAGAAAACGAAAATAAAACGAACTTAAATTTAAAGAAAGCAGGGAATGAGAAACAGATATTTTACAAAAAGAAAGAAAGAAAGAAAGAAAGAAAGAAAGAAAGAAAGAAAGAAAGAAAGAAAAATTGAACATACCCTGAACGCAACAATGAAATAAGACGAAAATTAAAATGTAATAAGTGAAAAAAGAAAAGGAGGGATTTAGAAAAAGATATTTTAAAGAAAGAAAAAAAGAAAGAAAGAAAGAAAGAAACCAGATATATCCTGAAAGAAACAACGAAATAAGAAGAAAATTAAAATGTAAAGAAAGTGAGAAAAGAAAAGAAGGGGATGAGAAAAAGATATTTTACAGAAAGAAAGAAAGAAAGAAAGAAAGAAAGAAAGAAAGAAATCGAACATACCCTGAAAGCAACAAAGAAATAAGACGAAAATTAAAATGTAAAATGTGAAAAAAGGAGGGTATGAGAAAACAATATTTTACAAAAAGAAAGAAAGAAAGAAAGAAAGAAAGAAAATGGACATATCGTGAAAGCAACAACGAAATCAGATGATAATTAAAATTTAAAAAAGTGAAAAAATGAAAGGAGGGAATAAGAAAAAGATATTTTACAAAAAGAAAGACAGAAGGCAGACATATCCTAAATATATTTTAAAGAAAGAAAGAAAGAAAGAAAGAAAGAAGGAAATAAATAAAGAAAGCGGACATATTTTGAAAAAAAAAACAACAAGGCAAAAATTAAAATAGAAAGAATGTTAAAAAAGAAAAAAAGCGTTTTAAGTGAAAATGAACGGATTTCTATAAAAGACAAAAAACAAGAAATGAATGAAAATTGATGAAAGAAACGCAGATAAGAAAACAAAACCGCCATTTTATAAAGAAAAGATAAAAATGAAAAAAATACTAAAAGAGTAAAGGTTGAAGGAAGAACGTGATATAGAAAGGAAACCGCAAAAAAGAAGGTAAGAAGTAGACAATGAATCATCACTCCCAAACCCTGTTCTGCCATCTATTTATACAAAATTGCTAGGTAGGTAACTCACTGTTTTCCACTGTCTTTCTTGCTTTCGTGTGAGTGTCTAATTTTCAAAGTATCCGTCCTTATTAGGCGTCCTCAAAATTTCAACTGTCACTTATATGATTGTGTGTGTGTATGTGGTAGTTACCTGAACAATTTTCAGCTCATGGTATTCTCAGCATCCTTCTGTAGAAGTCTCTTTATCATCTGTGAGAATATTGTCTAGCATTCACTGCCATAGATGAGGACTGATATTACATAACAGTTCAACACTCTCTTCTTTGTTTCTGTTACTGAAAAAGCCATTTTTTTCCGTATTGAGCTGTTAGGGCGAATCAAGACGAGAGATCAAGTGCAAGGTTCTGACCATATAGATTGTCTGGGGTGCACTCATAAAGCTATAATATATACGGTAAATGTCCCGAAGCAGATCTTTATTTCAGGTTTTGCTGAAGTCATTTTTCTACGGCTGTGTCGTTCTCGGGTCTTCCACGTCGAAATTTTTGTTTATCTCGCCAAAGAACACATGGTATTTCACACTGCGCCTCTAAATAAATATCTCAGACTCTGGAACTTGTAAATGAAATATGACTTCATTTTGCTAAAGTATAAAAACAAACCCCTTATAAACTAGTATTTTAAGGGGTCTCTTTTTCCCCGCTCCTAACTAATTAGAAGAAATGTCAATGTAAAAGGTCCCTGCAGAAGATTTAAGGTGGATTTCGCTGGGTAAAGTAACCCTCGAAACACCTGGTGTTAAGATTGAGATGTCAAAAACAGAGAAATTATTGGTAACGGAAAGAAAAAAAAATGTCAGGCTATAAGGCGGGACATGGGTAAGTGTACGGTTACGACAACATGGACTCCAGGGGTGCCCATTGTTCGGATTTCCTACTGCTCAGACACAGTCGTTCGTATTTAACCCTTCCTTTCGGTCAATTAAAAAACTGAAATTGATTGAAACATTCCAACTTTATTGTGTTTTTTTTTCATTCTCTTGAAAGTTCCATCGTCAGTATCATACTGTGAGGCACCTCGGCGTAGTATAAGGGTTCAATAGTCGAATGGACAATTATAATGAGTAACGAGGTCGATCCTCATTGACTGTAATATAATTATGATTCTTGTACTTGTACCAAATTCTGCTTAGTAGATAGAGAGTTCTTAAGCGAGAAGTAATGGCCTGTGAGATAGTATGGAGTCAATTCGAACTTCATTGATGGAACTAAATTGGCTTTGTTTCAAATTAAACTAAATGACCACTCCGTATAAACTTTATTTTTATTATTTATCCTCATTTTCTTCTTTTTCAACTTCTTCTGTTCATCCTCCTCATCATCATCGTTCAACTTCTTCTTCTTCTTCTTCTTCTTCTTCTTCTTCATCATCATCATCCTGCAGCTTCTTCTTCTTCTTCTTCTTCTTCTTCTTCTTCTTCTTCTTCTTCTTCTTCTTTTCATGATCCTCATCATCCTTCACCTTCTTGTTCTTCTTCTTATTCTTCCTCCTCCTCCTCCCCTTTTTCTTCTTCAACTTCTTCTCTTCCTCCTTCTCGTCATCCTATGCATTTTTCTTGTTCTTGCTGTTGTTGTTGTTGTTGTTTTTCTTCTTCTTCTTCTTCTTCTTCTTCTACATCATCATCCTGCACTTTCTTCTTGTTTTTGTTCTTCTTGTTGTTCTTCCTCCTACTCCTACTGCTTCTCTTTTTCAGCTTCTTCTTCTCTTCATCCTCCTCATCATCCTGCACCTTCTTCTTCTTCATCATCATCATCATCATTATCATCATCCTGCGCCTTCTTGTTGTTGTTGTTGTGCTTGTCGTTGTTGTTTTTGTTCTTCTTCTTCTTCTTTTTCTTCTTCTACTTCTTGATCTTCCTTCTCCTCCTCTTCTTCAATTTTTTCTCTTCCCCCTCCTCCTCATCAACCTGTACCTTCTTCTTGTTCTTGCTGTTATTTTTCTTCTTCTTCCTCTTCATCCTCACCCTCCTCTCATCTTCTTCTTCTTCTTTTTATCCTCATCATCTTGCACCTCCTTCTTTTTCTTCTACTTCTTCTTCTTCTCTTCATCCTCATCTTCCTCATCTTCTTCTTCGACATCATCCTGCACCTTCTTCTTTTTCTTTTTCTTCTTCTTCTTCTTCTTATTATTATTATTATTATTATTATTATTATTTTCAGCATCATCATTCTCAGCAGGAGCATCAATAGCATTGTTTCATACTTTGTTATCATAATCTTCTTTTCCATCTTCCATGTTTCCTCCGCCTAATCCTTCTCTATCTTCTTCTAAAATAATACTCACCATTTTATAACAATTATCCTCATCATCATTGATTTCGAAAGCGTCACCCTGCCCTTGTGGGTGAAGAAATATTCTCCACCCTTCAACCTCTCCCTCACAGGCGGGATGTGGCGAGCCTCTTGCTGCTCTACCGCTACATACACGGAAAGTGCTCGGACGTAATACATTCCCTGATCCAGCCGAGGCAAAACCTTCACAGCAAAAACACGCCGTGCCACGTACATTGTAGCAAGCCATCCACATTCCCTTCGTATTCCATTGATGAGAAGTAAGTTACACGCAAATCACGGCTCCGTAAAACCGACTCTGAAGAGGATGTTTCGGCCATCACTACAATCTTCTTGGACTCGTAATGAAGAAGGAGGTCTTAAAGAATTTGACACTCACAGGACGTATCGAGTTTAAAATGGATTCCGGAACGATAAATGGGAAGCCAGTCAAAGGAACAAATATTACTAAGAGGTACAAGTAATAGGAAGTTGTGGAGAGCCATGATCTGCAACGTCGGGAATCGACACGGCACATATAAGAGAATGATTCTGGATTGTTCAAAACGCATCGTTTCTGATCAATAAAACGATGGCCAATTATTGCTGAGTCATGAAACTTTACATATCTTCTTATTATTATTCTTCTTATTATTATTCTAATATCTTATTTTATTATTAATAATAACATCCTCTTCTTCTCATTTATTTATTAATAATACTAGTAATAGTAGCAGCAGTAGTAGAAACACTAAGAAATATGACCCTCTGCCTTCGCAATAGCAGCAGCTAGGGCAACGTCATCATCAATATCTTGTTTGTCATCTTAATCGTCAGGGTTTTATTTTTCCTCCTCTTCGTCTTCTTCTTCTTCTTCTCGTTATTATTATTATTGTTAGTAGTAGTAGCAGTATCAGTAGTAATAGTAGTAGAAGCATCAGGGATTATGATTCTCCACCATATCATTATCAACATAATCATCATCATCAGCAGCAGCAACAGCAACATCATCATTAAATTCTTCTACTTCTTCTTCTTCTTCTTCTTATTATTATTATTATCATTATTATTATTATTATTATTATTATTATTGCTGTTGTTGTTGTTGTTGTAAATGAATATAAGCTCCTAACTTCTCATCATCGGCATAAATGTCTATTTTGTTAGAACACTTACCATGGTCATTATCCAGTTCATATTCTTCAACTTATTACTAATCAGCAATTATTTCCATAATTAATTATATATATATATATATATATATATATATATATATATATATATATATATCAAGAAAAAAACTTAACACATCATCGAGGAATTGCGTAATAAATTTACTTTGGCAGATAATTTTTTTTAATATCTGCTTCATCAGACCGAAATTACAAATGGTTTAAATTTATCCAGACAGTTTATTAAAATTTATTTTAAAATTAAATCACAAGAGAAAAGGAAATAAATGTCTATATTACTTGACCTAGAAAAACTTTCCTGGCGATTTTCATTATTGCAGAGAGAGGAGTGGGTAAAAGAAAAAAAAAAACAAGGAGTCAGTACAATGAGAATGAATAGATGGGGGGTTACAAGTGACAGCTAGTGAAATACATTGAAATTAATTCAAAATTTATATCGTCTTCATCTAATCTACATCAATATATATATATATATATATATATATATATATATATATATATATATATATATATTAAAAAGGAGGAAAAAAAATAAATAATCTAATATAAAACATCCTTAAATTCATTATATCTAAGTCATCTTCATAATTATAAAATGTATGCTATATGTGTGCGGTATATACGTATAAAACATACGAATATACACATCCATACAAATACACAAGTAAACAGTAAACACATATATACAATACATACACATACACATGCACATATCTATATAGATAGATAGATATCTACACATATATTCATGTACACATATACATGCATATAAAAACATACATACATACATACACATGTATAAACATACCCACACATAAAGACCCATATAATATATATATATATATATATATATATATATATATATATATATATGTATACACATCCTAATATACCCAATAATACGCATATATACATCAAAATATAATACACTCACACATCTAATTACAATAATTTATAAAGTTTTTAAATCTACTAAAATACAGTTTTAATTATGTAACTTTTAAGAAATACTATTATTAATTATACCTATTTTTACTAATGATAAATCTGAAAGCTTATTACAATCTGCAATCTAACCGTATTGTTTTTGTAGTTGTATAAACACGCCTTTTTCCTATACGGATGTTTAAATATGACATT